CGGGGAGAGAGAGGGGCGGGGGGGAGGCGGAGGGGGAGGCTGGGAGAGGCGGAGGCCAGAGGCGGAGGCCAGAGGCGGAGGCCAGAGACGGAGGCCAGCGACGGAGGCCCGGGGCGGTCACGGGTTCTGGCGGCCGGGCGGGGAGGGGACCGGGCGAGGGGGCACGCCTTGAAGAGGAAGAAGCCGGGCGCGAGCGGCGAGCCGAAGGGCGTGAACGCCTCCGAGGCGGGCGCGTAGTCGCCGACGGCGGAGTGCGCCAGCGGCCGCCTCGCTGGCGTCGGTGGGGCGTCGGTCGAGCTGGCGGCCTCGAGCGCGCCCTCGACGACGGCGAGGACGTCGAGGACGCCGAGCGGCTCGCCAGCCTCCGAGACGACGGGCAGGTTCCGGAAGCCGGACCCCTGCAGCAGGTGGAGGGCGTGAAGCAGCGTCGCGCTCTCCTTGATGCACGCGGGCGACGGAGTCATGATGTCGCCGACGCGGGTGCGGGCCGCGGCGAGCCCGACGGCGACGACGCGGTTGAGGAAGTCCTTCGGGGTGACGATCCCACCCACCCGCGGCGCGCCGCCCCCCTCGGAGCGCACAACCAGCGCGGCCCCGCCCTTGCGCGACGCGGCCTGCTTGGCGGCGGCGACTACGGTGGCGTCTGCGAGCACCGTCGAGTCGGGCGGCGCCGTGGCGCGGAGGAGCTCGCCCGCGGTGCGCTGCCCGCCCGCGAGGTTGCGCAGCTCTAAGTGCGAGATCGCGTCATGCAGGCACTTTGCCACGTCGAGCAGACCCACCACAGACTCGGTCGAGTCGACGACCGGCAGGTGGCGGAAGCGGCCGTCGACCATCAGCATCACCGCCGTGAGCGCGGGCTCGTCGTCCATCACGCAGCGCGGGTTCTCGGTCATGATGGCCGAGATCTTGGTCCGGCGAGGGTCCAGGCCCGCGCCGAGCACGCGCGACGCCAAATCGCGGTCCGTGAAGATGCCCGCCACACGGTCCTCGTCGCCGAGCACAAGCGCCGCGTCGGCGTTGGCGGCCGCCATCCGCTTCGCAGCATCGGCGACGGAGACGCTGCCCTCGAGCGTCACGGCCGCGCGCGGTCGCAGCTCGAGCACCGTGCGCACCGGGTTGTTCACCCGCGCGCCCTGCAGCAGCGCCTCGGTTGGAGGCACGTACTGCGTCTCGGCGGCGGACGCGAGGGACGGTGGCTTTGGCATGCCGCTGCCCTCCAAGACAGCCTGCTTGGCGCTGTTCTCGATGAGCGCGATCAGCGCGGCGCGTGCGGCGCCGTCGAGCGGCATACGTAAATGGCAGCAGCGTGACCAAAACGGTGAGTCAGATCTCTGCTCCTCGGCAGTGCGGTCAAAAAAAATCCCGTAGGACTCTCTGACTCAGTGGCGGCGTGCGCTCTCTCGCCCATCCCTCCCTTGTGTTGTGTGTTTTATTTCTTTCTTTCTACTCTCTGACTCAGCTCTACCTCCCAGGGGGGCCAGCGGCCCGCAGGTTCTAGCCGAAGCCGGTAATTGCCGGCCGCCGGTGCTGCTGGTGCTGCGTCGTGCGTGCTGCTGCGTCGTGCGTGCTGGCGTGGTGCGCTCACCTGGTGGAGGTTGGTGGGAGCTGGGAGCGGGGAGGTGGTTTTCTCGTTTGTATAGGGACTCTGGGGAGGCGGGGGTCCTAGAGGGTATCCATGCGGGGGGGAGACGGGGTCCCACGGCCCGCCGCAGGCGCCGATTTTTCGGAACTTTTTTTTCTTTTTTGCGCTATTTTTTACTTGTTTTCAAGGAATTCGCCGGTCTTGCGGCCATGCTATCACGCCTTGCGACAGCCTGTCGGCGCTGCTGACCGTGCCCTGCTGCACAATTGACCACCTGCATAGCTCGCGGCCTTAGTATCCACCATTCAGTGACGACCTGATCGTACGGCCAGTAGGAAGGTGTCCTTCCAGCGCGTGCACGCTTCTGACGGAATGCGCGTCACAAACTGCCTCGGCGACTGGCTGCTGGCACTCTCGAGGCTATGCCTACACAGCCTCGCGCGCATGGGCAGTCAGGAGGGACCATGCACCTTCTCCGGACAGCGCCGGTCCCTCTCTCTTGGACCGGCAAACTTGGTGGTCTCGTGTCACCAATGTGGGACCAGTGCGGCGGATCGCGCCATCGACAGCTCTGAACTGCGCCTCACCACTGACCGGGAAGGCCGCCAAGTGGGCCAGCACCGGTCACACATTGTGGCAGTTATCTGCAGTTATCTGATAGCTAGAGCAGCAGCGTCAGGGTCGCAGGGTTGGATCATGTCAAGCCTCTCGCCCGGCCGGCCGCGTGCAGACGTGTCGGCCTGTCTGCTGTCTGGAGTGATCTGTCGGCGGTCAGTACGACCGATCAGGTCGGAGTTTTCTGATGGCTAGAGGATCTATCTGTATGTACTCCTCGAGATCTCTCCAAATCTGCCCTCTGATCAACCGTGATCATTCGGGAAGTCGGTGCTAGCGCGGACTTGCGGAGCCGGAGAGCGCCCCCGTTTCACCGCACTGGCCACTGCGGCGCGCCGCACGGTGCCTCCGGGGGCCCCCGCCTCCCCCAGAGTATAGGGAAATAACTGCAGCGCAAAAGACACAAACATCGGCACAGACGGTCTGTCGCTCGCTCTAATGTGTGGTGGTGGCGCATCTTCCAAAACTAATTTTCGCTCTGCCAGAGTCAGGGCACAGGGGGAGAGAGCGCGCCTGGCCGCGCGCCGGCGCGCGGTCGCCGCACCTCACGACATGAAGGGCGCCATCACCTCGCCCGCGTACGGCTTGAGGTGCGGCCCCCACGGCACGGACCCGGGGATCTTTTGCTCGGCGAGGAACGCCATGATGCCGATCATCGCTGCGCGGCCGTTGTTGATCTCGGCGAGGAGGCCCTTGGCCTTCTGCTCCTCGGACCTCTTGCCCGCGAAGCCAAACGGGTCGTACAGGTTGAAGACCTGCGCGCGCCGCGGATCGGGAGGCGCGGGGGTCATCGCCACCTCGGACCGCTTGCCGCCGCAGCGGCGGGCGCGCGCACCTTGACGGGAGTGACGGGGATGACGCCCGCCTTGGGAAAGTCAGGGTAGTCACCCGGCCTGCCGCCCTTCATGTAGTGCGTCTCCATGCCGAGCTCGCTCCAGAACTAACGCGCGGGAGCAGTGCGGGAGGGGTGAGGAAGGCCACACAAGGCGCGCCGGCGGGTTGGACGGCGCCGCTCGGGGGCTGGCCGGGAGAGGGCCGCCGCGGTTCGGGAGCGCCGATGGCACACCTCGAGGAAGCCGATGAAGGTGAAGATCTGCGCCTTTGCGAGCAGCGGGAGCGCGTCCCACTGCTCCGGCGGCGTCAGGCCCGCGGCGTACGACGGCGACTCGGGCAGGCTGAGCGGGAAGCCAAAGTGGAGTCCGTTGTACTGGGCAATGTAGCCGACAAAGGCGAACATCGCGACGCGCCCGTGCTTGATCTCAGCGTGCCGCAGCCAGCCCCACGTCGCCTCGTTGCCCTGCGACCAGAAGTCGGCCGTCGCGAGGCCGAGCGGGTCAAAGTAGCCGACGACCGGGTTCAGCGCAGTGGCGAGCTCCTCCTTGGAGTAGTCCATGGAGACAGCAGCGGCGCGCGAGCTCGCGAGCGGCGGCGCCGCGCGCAGCGGCGTCGCGAGGCCCAAGCACGAGGGCGCGAGCGACAGCAAAGCCATTGATCGGGCTGAGGTTGCAAATTGGCGGTCTGGGGTTTTTTTTCTGTGCATTTTATCAGTGTTTTTCCCTTTCTATCAACCAATCACGGCTGGCTCACAAATCTCACCAGGAGCTCGTCAAGGCGCGGGACGTGCACGTCAAGAACAACCCGTCCCTCGGAGACAGCGCCGTCAACAACCGCGAAGTCACGCGCCTCATCTCCGCCTCAACGCCTTTCGCCGGCAAGGCCCTCGAGGTCCGTGTCGACGGCACGTACGCCACCGCCCTCTCTCTCCTCCGACGCCCTCCAGGACGAGCTCCAGCGGAAGCTCGGCCTTTGGCTCTCCGTGGCGCTTCCCACCCTTCGGGTCGCGCTCGAGCGGGGCATGCCAGTCGATTTCTTCGGCGACTACCTTTACAACAAGGCCCACCACCGGCGGCCCCACGACGGCGTCCTCGCTCGCCGCCTGGGCGGACGCGATGCGCGCCCCGGCCAACGCGCCGGTCGTGCACGGTGACAAGGAGAAACCAGAGCTCACCCCCGGCAGTACAACGAGGGGTACAAGGTCGACCTCGCGGAACCCCACGCTGGCCCGGGAGGATGCGATGAGGTGAATGAAGTCAAGCTCTGGACGCCCCTCCTCAAGACCTCCTCGGCGGGCGTTGGCAATGCCTCGAGCGGCGGCACGCCCGCCTCCGTTGGCCACTCCTACGCCTTCGGCAACACCGAAGAGAAGGCCCGCCGCCTAAACATGGGCTGCAAGGCGCGCGGGCAGCCCGGCCAACCCTTCGACCACAAGAACAGCCACGGCTACGTCAAGGCGCATCGCGGTTTCTACCACGACGCGATCTTTGTCAAGCGCAACAACTTCAACCTGCTGCTCCACGAGACGTTCGGCGGCGGCTTCTCGCCCACCGCCGTTCTCAAGCTGCGCAGCCTCGGTCGCGCGCGGCAGCGTCGACCGCACCGCGCACGGCCTACTCACCCAAGTACTCGCTCTCTTTTATGTCCCACCATGCAGAGCGCATCTCTCTCTCTGTTGTGCGAGGCGTGAACCGCGCCATCCGCTCTCACCTGGCAACCCTGTCTGCACGTCTCGCGCGCGCGTGAACAGGGGTCAGGGCATGTGCAGGGGCTCCAGGCCCCAAAATGACGTGTGAGTGTTAGAGTTGTTTGGTTTTTTGCACTCGTGCGACAAATCTGACAAAACAATAAACAAAAAAACTCTCTTCAAATCTGAGAAGATTTCTTGTTGGTTTTCTAAAATCTCTCAAATCTGGCGGCGCACCTCCGCCGTCGGCCCTCACTCGAGGGCAAATCTGGCCGATGAAGTCGTCGCCCGTCGAGCACTTGTACAGGGCGCACAGTATGCACACCCAGACACGCCGGCATTGCGGTGGATGTGCGGTAGGGGCACCTCCTCCCTGCTCCCGCTCACGAGCTCCGGCAGCACGCTGAGCAGATGCTCCGCCGCCGCGGCCTGCGTCGGCGTGACGGCATTGCGTTCGGCGCGGCGGAGGGCGGTCTCGGCCTCACTGTACCAAGGTAGGCCTTCAGCTTGCACGAGCTGCGCCAACGAAAGCGCGAAGCGACACGCGACGGCGAGGCGAGCAGGGGGGAGGGGGGGGGGGGGGGGTGACGTGAGTGCACCGGGGCTGACGCGCGCGTCCAACACTACATCTGCATGCACGCGCACCTGAACGCAAAGTTGAGGTCGCCGTTGACGTCGTCTTCGATCCGCGCCGCCTCGCCATACACCTTTCGAGCGCGCGCAAAATCGCCGAGCTGCTGCGCGCAGAAGCCAATCAGCCGCAGTACCGCCGCGCGCTTGTGGAGCTTCCCCGTGTCCCACCCCTTTGCATCTGCACGAACAGAGCACTGTCGGAGCCGTCGGCCGCCGCTGGGCGCGCCGCGAGGCGACCAACGCCGGGCGAGGCCGCCACGCCGGTGCCGCGAGCCGAATCGGCTGGCTCAGCTGGTCTCAGCGTCGTGGACGGCTGAGCTGAAAGCAGCTTCGGCGTGCCCGGCGGCTGCAAGTGCTGCCGTCTCTGTTTGCGATTGAGGAGGAGGTGTGCCGGCGCAGGAGGGGCGACATTCCACTCGTCCAGTCGGCCAAAGTAGGATGAAAACTCTTGGCGAGTGTAGAGCCCACCATCGGCGGCACGACGCCTCTCCGGCCCTGTCGCCGCCTCGGCCGCCTCGGCTGGCTCGGCTGGCTCTCCTGGCTTGGCTGGTCGCTTGGCGGGACCCGCTGCTACTGCGTTTTGCTCGAGTCCTGGCCAGGTGGCAGGCAGGTCACGTCTGAGGCGCTGCGCCGCCTGCGCCGTGCCACACTCAACTCCGACTGACGCCGAGCCACCGCTCGGCTGACGCACCACCGTACAAACAAAAGCGCTCTGAAGTTTGAGCCGTCGTACCATGGCCACGACGTCGTCACGCGTAGCCGACAGCGGCAGCCCGCTCACGAACGACAAGGATGTGGCGCTCACTGGGGGGGGGGCGGCGAAGAGGCGGGAGAGCTGGGTCCAGTGCGCTCTGCTGCTGGGGGGGTCGGGACCCCCACAGCTGCTCGAACCGCG